TGCTTATGTCACTCATAAAGGCTATTGTGGACACAATATTCTGGGTTTTCTTTTTTGTATGTTTCAACCTCCAGCCAATAGTCTTGGCATGTATATATAGGTGTGTAGGTAAGTAGGTATGTTTTCGGTTGTGGCCTCGTCGGCTAGATAGTACATCTTTATTTTTTTCTGTTTGTCTACCATAGTTTGTATGGTTATTCTCTTTCAGGTCATGACCTCTGGGTCCAGGCTTCACTTTTTAGTTGTTGTGCTACCCAATCTTTATGCCTCATAAGTTTGGTTTAGCTAGTTTGTTTCAGTGGGTAACTCGATGTATTAGGGTATCGAGTGCCAGTTACGCCCCCTATTTTGGAGCGTGACGTTACAGGACCCTCAGTCAAACTGAGGATCCAAACGGTAGTCTTGGTAGCAGTCACCGATCTAGTCGGCGATTCGCCAGTTGGACTTGTGTAATTCATCCTGCAGTATTTCACAAACATTTCATGCCCAATCCTACAAAATCAAAACACCTTTATTTCAAAAATAACAGAATTACAGTAATTAAGGGCTTTGGGAACCTCCCAAACAATGCCTTAGTTAACGTCATGGCACGACGCGGGTTAGCACCTAAATTTCACTCTTGGGGTTAGCCAAAACATCGTTTGGCGACCCCTTGCCTTGTGCTTGATGGAGATGAGGCATTACATGACCCAGGAGAGTTTCAATCAGTTGGATGGATCTAGAGTGAGAACCGCTCATCTGGTTTAGCACTTCTACATTTTCTCTAATCTTCTCTGGCACTCTATATTGCTCATTTAGCTTTTGAAGAGTGGTTACTAACATATCTTCGATATGTTTATTCTCAATGTCCATAGATCCTCCCTGCTCAATAGGTGGTCTGCATTTTCTCTTCTCTTTGGACATCACCTCCAGTTCCTCGACCTTTTGGGTCAAGTTATCCATCTGACCCAGCAAAATGATCAATTGCTGGTCCTTCTCAGTATCCTTGTTGGTTTTCGCCACAAGATCAAGGAATTTGGTTGCGGTCTCATAGGGATATTTCTCACGACCACCTGGCATAAGTTGGTCGACTAACCCTTTGTTTCTTGGATTCAGACTCCTATAGAAGCATTCCAGTAGAACTAAATCAGGGATTTCATAAGTTGGGCATTGTATCAATAGTGTTTTAAACCTCAGCCACGACTCATGAAAGGTTCTCCTTCTAGATGATTAAAGTTCAAGATGTGATTCCTGAATCTCATCACTTCTACTGGGAGGTGCTCCATTGGTCCACCATCTCGATCATGTATACTCATTATCTTGGCTCAACACACAAACAAGCTAGACAAAACTAAGAATAAGGTAAGTAGACTACAACTAAAAAGACAAAAATTCTACTAATCTAAAAATTCTCAAATAACACCACTCCCCGGCAACGGCTCCATTTTAATGCTTATTGTGACCAACGACATTAACCTACGGTATGAGTATCTACGATCGTCGATAATATAGTAACCCAACTAAAGGTTGGGGTCGTGTCCCAAGGGAGTGGTTTTGAGAATTAATAGAAAAATAAAATTTAGCTCTAACTAGTCGTAGCTAAAGATATTAACGATTAAAACCATAATAAATCAAAGGGGGGTGACACAAAAGTATCAAATATCAATTTGGGGGTTTAATCACAAGTAGTAAAAACTACAAAAATAACAAGAAAATCAAGTATAGGGAAAAGTTCTTGGGGTGTGACCGCAATACAAGTTGAAATAAATCGTTGGTACATGCTTTCAATAGGAAATTTTCAAGATAATAATAACTACGCTAAGTTTTAGATGGAAATAAGTTCCCTCTCGGGCAACTTACCCCGTTTCAAATGCGTTCCTCTCGAACACCCATTTGCCGCATGAAGGCTAGCCTACGCCTTACCCCACTCACTCTCTCTAGCTGAGTGTTAGGATATGGGACTAGGGCTCACCCTATCGGGCTGAACCTCATGTCAACCTACTCCTTAGGCTATCAGTCTAGCGGTCTTGGTTTCGCGACCTCCCTTTCGGGCAAGCTAAAAACACATGGGTGGTTTTGTATTTGCAACTACAAACCCATTAAATTAAACCACAACCACTAGTTGAAATAACCATTAAAATACATCTAACCTATCAGCAAGCAAGACCCACCAACAATATCAACACATATTTGCTAAATCACACCCCAAGAATGGGGGTTTTTAGCCACACATCAAGAAATAACATAATACACCTAAAATGATACTAAAATCAAATGGGTATAAGAAATTAAACCTTGATTTAAGAAAAGGAAGAAGAATGGAGAAGACCCACTTCTAACTTGGGGAAAATGAAATCCTTTTTTCTTCAAGTCTCCCAAAACCCTCTCCGAACTGGAGAGAAAATATCCAAAAAGTGCTATTTTATTCTGGAAATTAAAATTAATGTTCGAATCTTTAAAAACTAATAACAAGTTTAGTATTTATAGACTTCAGAAAATAGTGTTGGCGGATCTTTCGGCGAGGTTAGTCAGAATCGCTAATTAACTCGGTGATTCGCCCTTTGGTGTAGGTCGTCGCTGTCTTGCACTAACCTTTAGCGTCATCGTGTTCTGTGTCATTGGGCGGTGTAGTACTCCTTTACGGAACTATTCGGCGAAGCGCCGACTGCTCCTTTCATCGCCTTTTTGATCCTTCTCCTTCAGAGCTTCGTGTACTGAAACAAAGGTCGGAGTGCATCTTTTTGGCGAGTCACCAAGTGTGCTTGGCGATACACAGGCTTCATCTTGTTCATTATTTTCAACCTTTTTGTTCCTTTTTGCGCTTAAGTGTCCATGCTTCCACCAAAACTTCAAATACCTGAAACTTAAGAATTTTCATCAGATTTTGAGACAAAATAAGCAATTGAGGACACTATTTATATCAAAATAAAGCCCTAAATGAGTCCAATTTGTGGACTCATCATGTTGATGATTTGAGATTCCATGGCCTTGAAGGCAAGTTTTGACTAAATTTCATGTTGAAGTAGAATTGTGCTTAACCTATTGATCCACTTGAAAGGTGGAGGTAACACTTACTAAGTATTTGAATGAGAATCTAATGAGGTTAAGGTGATCTTGTATTGAATGTAAATGTGTTGTGATTGAAAGCATATTCTCACTTAACACTCATGAATGTGGATGATGGAATGTGAAGGGTTCTATAATGTAATGTTGTGTATCTTGAATTGGTAGTCTAAGGCATCATTTTATTATATTGATGAATGTGATCATGAATGAAGTATCTTGAATTGGTAGGCTTAGGCATCCTCCTCTTGAATAATGAATGTATCTAGACTTAATGTCTTAATGAAATGAATTGGTAGACCTAATGTTGGTAGCCTTTCATAAATGAATAAATGATGAAGTATTCTAGGCTAAACCTTAGATTGGTAGACCTAGTGTTGGTGGCCTTTCATAAGGAGTCTAGAAACTAATGTGATGTTAAACCTTGGATCGGTAGACCTAATGGTGGTGGCCCTTTCTTGTGTGAAATGATGAACCTAGAAACGGTACACCTAATGGTGGTGGCTCTTTCTAGGAGGATCAATGAGCTATCCTTAAATGTACCATGAATCGGTAGACCTAATGGTGGTGACCTTTCATGTGTATGTTTTTTGGGTCGGTAGGCCTAATGTTGGTGGCCTTTCAAGTACAACAATGTAATGTGAATGAACTACTCCATGGGAATGGAAGCTAAGCACCGAGTGGATATGGCTAAGATGGTGACTCTACCAATGTTAGGTTAGAGTCCAATGAACATCTTTCTTATCCCCTAACTATGTGCCTACATAGGATGTTTACTAGTTCTACCTAGGCAAGTAGAACATCTTCCTTCGGTGTAGGCTTACATGACACCAGATTTCATGATTTAGCTCTCATGGTCTATGTCGGTTAATGCCTATTCCTATCATGTGAGATGTGTATTATGGTTTCTTGATGAGTTCTATGAAGTGTGGGTGGTAGTATGGGATTCCATCCATGCATTGCACGAGTAGGCTTTGAGAGGGTCATAGTGAGTTCTCTAAGTCTTAATGACTATTGTATGAAAGTCCTCTAAATGATGTTATTGAAGAATGTTGACTCTTATATGCTTAAATGTAAATGATGCATGCTATATTTGGATTGTATCATGAGTTACTTCCTTGTCATGACTTATTGTATAGTAATGTGCCTTGATTGTGGTGACTTCAAAGGAGTACTCAGTGTGAGTAGTAGTATGGGATGCTACTTGCACATTGCACAAGTATGACTTAGAGTTGTCTTAGGTGATGGTCCTTTTGATGATATGACTTGTGAAATGTTTAGCTCTTATGAGTGAGTATTGTTGAAGATGGAAAGGTTAAATGGTAAGTTCACTTTTGGTGACCTTAATGTGGTACCTTGGTGTGGATGGTTGTATGGGACGCTAGCCATCCATTGCACAAGCTATAGCATGAGGGTTACTTGAGGTGAAGGTCTAATGTGAAGGTAATGGCTTAAAATGTTGATATTGTTCAAATGTGATGTTATGACTTGTATGATGATTATACTTGTATTTGATGTCTATTATGCTATTGTTCATGATATTTCTAAAAAGTGGCATAATGCATGGTTTCCAACCAAAATGTCCCATTTAAAGAATGTTTTGCATGGTCATCATACTTAGTACATTTTTGTGTGCTGACCCATTCTTCTATGTTTTTACTACAAGTGTAGGCTCCGGCAAGTGATTGCTTCTAGCTAGATTGAAGTGCTTGGTTTGAGATTTCCTCCAAGGATAAAGTGGTATGTCCTCATAGATCGAGGACAAGAGTCTTTTTCAAGTTTGTTTCCTTTTTCATGTAATAGACAATTCTAGTCTTTTCAACTGTAAAGGGTCGTGTCCCTATTTTTTTCAAGATTGTGTCTAAGATGGCCATGTGAGATATAGACTTCCGCTTGCGTTTAAATGTTTTTGAATGTTAGATTGTATGGTTTTAAATAAAAAGTTTTAAATTCCGTACTATTTATATTACCTATGCAATGAATGAGCTATGAGGCTTGTATAAGACCCCTTCGGGGTCAAGTACGCTATGTCGCATCCGGGGTCTTGACTCTGGTCGTAACAATAAATCTTCTATGTATTATGTCGCCTCCAATGGTCTGACTGAAGAATTCAATAAGACTCTATGCTACATGCTGAAGAAAGTTGTCTCTAAGTCCAAACGAGATTGGCATGAAAGGATTAAAGAACCTTTGTGGGCATATAAAACGATCTACACACCGACTCAAGCAACCCCATATTCACTTGCTTTTGGAGTTAAAGTTGCCTTTCCACCTGGGCGTCACCTACCTTTCTTAAGACTCGTTATTCAAGAAGGGCTCACTGAAGAAGAAAATGCTCTACTACGTCTTACAAATTTGGAAGCACACGATGAAGAGAGCCTAGAAGATCAATAAGAATGTTATCAAGCTCGTCTATCGCGTTCTCTTTACAAGAAGGTTTGCTTAAGGTGCTTCCAAGTTGGAGACCATGTCTTGGCAGTAAGAAGACCCATCATTACTTCACATAAGTTTGGTGAAAAGTTTACCTCAATGTGGGATGGACCATATGGTGTACAAGAAGCGTGTTTAAATGGTGCTTACAAGCTTGTTGATGCATATGGCATGAGGATCGGTCCTACTAACGCAAAATTACTAAAGAGGTACTACCCTTGAAGTAAGTTGAGGCTCCTTAAGGTACGAGCATAAATTGCATGTTACTCCTAACCTGCAAAGTATAAACTGTGCACCATACCCACAAAAAAAAAATACACTCTCCCAAAACTACATTATGACTTGATTCTCTTAATTGAGGTACGTAGGCCATTAGAGTTATATATGTTCAATTGGATGAATGTCAAAAAACACATGTTCCCACTTAATCTATCTCATTAAACTTAAGTTTATATGTATTTTATTTTATTTTTTGTTTCATAAGACTTCAGACTTGCATGAAGTATTGATGGGTCACGGAGGGGAGGGGGACTCTTATAAAATATGAGCTTCTTTAAAAATATGCTTGAAGTCTTTAAATTTAGTTATGTATGCATATTGAATTCTTCAAATTCTTTAAGTCTGCAAATCGAAGTCTTCAAATCCTTCAATTATACAAGTTGATGTCTTCAAATTCTTTAAGTATACAAGTTGAAGTCTTCAAATCTTACGAGCTCAAGTTAGACTCTCAAATCAAACAAGTACGGAAGTTGTAGTTTTCAAATTCTACAAAATTACAAGTTAAAGTCCACAAGTTCGCAAGTTAGACTATCAAATCGAACAAGTTTGCAAAATGAAGTCTTCAAGCTCTGTAAAATTGCAAGTTGAAATGTCTTCAAATTCTATGAGTTTACAAGTTGAAGTCCTTAAAACTTGTTATGGGTTGAAGCGTTAAATTCCGCAAGATTTAAAAAACAAGTTTGAATGCGCTAACTTAAAATATGGAACATCCACTATTTTCGTTCTTATGGGCATGCAAAATATGAAATGCTTTTGGATTATTAAAAGCTTGCAATAAAAAAAAAAAAAGAAAAAATTCAAGTCGGAGAATGCAATAAAAATGCATGATATGAGACGAAGAAAAAGAGGAAACTTAATTACCATAAAATTGTCTAAAATATCAATCAAATTCTGAAGGAATAAAATGAGAAGATAAAGAAAAGCCCAATCTAAATGTTATTTGTAGTTGGTCAAATCTTGACGACTAGCCTCGAAGCACTCTCTTTTCTTTTCCAAACGAATTTAATCTCCGGTCGTTAATAAATTCATGTTTTCTTATGAGAATATCTCATCTTCTGTAGTTAAAATCTTGGCTTGAATATCCTCAGCGTTCTTTTAAGCAGCTTATATAGAAGCTTCAAGTTCTTCTCATTCTCCTTGTAGAGTTGATAGCTTTCGCTTAACCTTTTTTTTAGTAATTTCTTGTTAGAAAAAAATGTGGTTTTCCTTATCACCCTCTTCTACTCTAAATTATTCAAGACACTCCTTGGCATTGGAAATAAACTCCATTTTCTTATCATGATGCGTCTTATCAACAAAATTAGAGTGTTCTTGATCATAGGAAGTAGCGAGCTCGAAAAGAGAATCAACCAAGGTGAAAGATCTAATAAATTCATCTCGTTGAAGATCTCGTAAATATCCTCTTTATAAGATGAAATAGAGTCTACAAAAGTTCTAGAAATTTTGCCACAAATCTCTTCCCAAAGGCCCAAGAAGCAATTCCTTTTGTGATTGAATACCACACCTTTTTCTTCAAAGACAGACATAGCTCCATTCATCTTTGGAAGAACTTGAGAAAGCTCATTGAATAGGAGTTAACCCTTTTAAAGTTTGGTCACAAGAAGTAGATGATGTCTTTTGTCCTTGCTTAACATTTCATGTTGCGATCCCATTGGATGTCCAATAGTATTGACCTATAAACAAAAAAATGGTTAGCAAAGTTTTTTATTCATGACTCAAAGATAAGAGATTCGTGATTAAAAACAATATTTTCACTCTGAACTGTTAATATTCTTGAAGTATTATTAATGTTTTAGACTTCTACAACTTCTAAATCAATAGCTTCAGCCCCGGTTAATATAACCCTTTGCCTCTTCCAACATCAATCATTGCTACTTTTGCTTGTTTCTTGAAAGGATCGTTTAATAGATGAAAGAATTCGGGGACATTTCTCTATATCAGTAGAAGTATGAACTACTTCTTTCTTAGATACCTTAGAGGATTTAAGCTTCTTGTTGTGATGTTGGGGAGCAAATGGTGTTTTGATTCTTGAAAGCATCTTCTCGGTGTATTGACTTTTGTCCTATAAAAGGGTAACAATGTTTGACCCAACCTTCTCCACTAAAACTTCCAAATTATCCTCGAGAAACTTTCCATGGGATTCCCGCCAAGATGGATATCGGGTAGAGTAAAGCTTCTTCGCAAAAGTCATCGCATATGGAAAGGTCGCTTTAGACATGGTAGCACGTGATATGAAAATGTGCCAATCTATAAGGCCCTCACCGATCAACTCAGCACGAATATCCTTTCCATATCAGTGTGGACTATATGGCTCAATGACGAAGGAACCTCCCCTCCTCAATGAAAGATAATCAAAACAAAGGCTCATAAAATGAGTTGACTCTAACTCTAGCGCTTTGCTATCATCAATACAATAGGTTGGGTGAGGCTTACTACGCATAGTTGCATTCCATACAATGCTTTCCACTCAATGAACGCGTTTCCTTGCCTCGTTTATCAAAATATTGTGCAGAAACCTTCCTTAGAATATACCATCATTCATGGGAGAAAAGTGGATAGTGTTTCTTGGGATAATAATCAAGCCAACCATAAGCATAGTGAATGGGAAAACAAATTTTTATATGGTATAATTGTGAAGAAATTGAAATTTTATTTAAGCCGTGATAGATGCTCACTATGACCGGGACCACAAGCCTAACCCTTCTATCGTTCTCCATCAAGCTTGTCATCTTGAAAGTTTCAGGCAAATAAAATCCCTTTCTTCAAATGGAAATACAAAGGCGCATAACCAACATGACAAAATGGATACCAAATAAGTCTCATATTTCCGGTGTTTCACTCCAATCTTATAAAATATTGTCTATTGATGAAATGACCCAAAAAGTTCTTAAAAATGTGCTTCGGAAGTCACCAGAAACTTGTTTAGCTGTGTATTAAAAAATCCATTTCGTTTTTCGAAAATCTGACTTCATATTCTTGTTTAGGGGGTCAAATTGAGTGGGAAATGGGTCTAACCCAAATTTTAGAGCAACCGTATCAAAATCCGAAATTTCCAAATGAAGCCTTTT